GATGGATGGATGGATGGATGGCTAAATACCACAATTAATCGTGATTAATTTTTTTGCCAATATCGCCCAACCCTACTACGTATTAAACATTTAAACATCTCTTAGCGGTTCTTTTAGATGCTAATATTTAAATCTTTGCATTGCTGTCAGTTTCACATTACAGTGTTATTCTGTAATAAAAATCATCATATCCCTGCAGGACTTCAACCCAGGCTGAACTGAAAGTGCTGCTGCTGTTTGTGCTTCCAAATATCTCTTAATTCTCTGTAAATAAGTGTGTACTTGTYTTAAKAATAAACATTCTTWATTTAAAGGATCCCCATTAGTCTTACCTGTCCAAACATCTCACATTTCTCTCGTCTCTCTGCAGCCGAGATCCTTCAGGCCAACGACAGCCTAACCCACGTCATCAACCTGTACAAGCAGCAGGTGAAGGGGGAGATTGTGAACGGGAACAACACGTTAAACACTCAGAAAKCTACTGGTGGGTGAAAACACCTCCATTTAAAATGAACTGAGAGACAAAAAGTCTTGTTTTAAACCCGTCTCTTCCCGCAGGACGGACAGCGCTGTTGGACCTGTCTGGTTTGGACACTTCACCTCAGTCCCTCACTGAGTTTCCCACTCCGACACATGGTTTGACCGCTCCGTCGCAGGAGATGAGGATCAGRCTTCTTGACGATGAGCTCATGTCACTCGGTAGGACTAGATTTGTCCAGAGTTGGGACGCTCTGGGTTTGAAACACTTTCTCAGTATGATGAATCTTACACAGGTCTGAGTGAAGGAACACATGCTTCCAACGCCCCCTCACAGCCGGAGGACTCCACGGCGTGGGACTCCTTCCAGGTGAGGGACTGAAAACTGATTGTATGGYCTGTTTGGACCTGTTAGGTCACTGATAAGAAGTGTGTAGACTCACTCASTTTCTACTCTCAGTCCTCTGACAGCATTGACACAGACATCCCAGCAGCACCCAGCCTCCTGCTGAGTCCTGATCCCCCCTCCCACCCTCAGCCCCACCAGGGGAACTCAGCTCTGGARGAGTTGGACCTGCTGGGGAAGACGCTGCTGCAGCAGTCCCTGCCTCCAGAGGGCCTGCAGGTCAAATGGTAATTCTGATTTCAGGAAAAGAGCTGTTTTCACTCAAGTGTCTGAGAGGACACTGCAGCAGACAAATGCTGGGACAGTTTTCCTCCCTGCCTTAGGAATAAAAATCCTAGATTTAGGCCCCATTTACAGGATGTGTGTGAAACAGCCGGATCTTTGCTGCGGTTCTGCCGATCGTGTAGACAACTCCACTGGTGTGAAAGTGCGCAAACAGCCGGCACACAGGCTACTGCAGCAAGTTTCTTCTAAACTAACAATTACAATGAATTACAGACAGAAGAGCATTTTTGTTACCACCCTTTGCAGCTTGTAGGAGCAAAACCAACAAGCATCCTAGGTCCGAAAGAACTCTAGTTTATTCACCAGGTGCTGCATGATCGCAGGCCCAGTTTTGTGTAAACAGGGTCTTATGTGGCTCAACCTGCAGTTTCTCCAAATTTATGATGAATTTGCAAATATGCAGCAAATGCTATTCCATTATCACCAGCTGCTGAAAGCAGAAAGGTTGGAAGTATTTAGTTTTTGTGTGTGCATTTGTCTTTTGTGTTAGCAAAATATCACATAAACCAATGTATAGATTTTATTGAAACAGAAAATAATCATTGGATTGATGAACTGATGGAGTCYACCTAATTCAAGACGTTAGAAAACACGTTAGAAATGGCTATTAGTCAGTTTTATAGTTAAAAGTTGATGTGGTAGTAGCTGAGAGTCATCCRAGATTTAAACTCCAAGAATCAYCTCAGTTCTTCTTATACTGCAGAAAWCACTTCTATTCAAGATGTGACCAAAACTGAAACTCAACGTAAAATGATTTTAGTAAACAAAACCTAAGAGACTCAGGACTTTTCAGGTGGTGAAACTCTGGTATTAGAAATGATTGATGTTGTGCATTTCCTTTAGTTTTATTTGGATGTCCAGACTTTAAATTTTTGTTTTGGTTTGTATGTTYCTTCCTCCTCACTTCTGATCAYATAGATGGAATTTTATCAACAAAGGGAATCATCACATTCATGATGTTACAAGTAATACGAGTTAATTTATTTTTTATCTTTTTTTTTTGCATTGTCCTGCCTTCCATTAACTTCAAAGAAACATTTCTCTGCACACACTAAAGATCAAAAAARGTTCTTAGCTGCATGTTTTGCAGAAAATCTCTTATTGTTAAGTCCTCATGTGAACAGAGTTGGTAAAAAATATTTGGTCATTCATCCTTTTCACACACTATCATATAAAACTTGAACATCACTMCTAATTTGATGAGGAGAATTAAAGATTTCTGTGATTTCAGCTAAAAGCCACCATTATTGAACTAAAAAGCAGAAGAACCTGAACATTGTTGATTTTTCTCCTTTAAGGGACAAGCAGCAGAGCAAACCGACTCTAAGAGATCTCCAGAATAAATCTGCAGCCAACATGAGTCCACAGCCTGTTCTGCCCTTCGTCCACGATCATCCCAGTCCTCTTCCAAACTGTCAGCCCAAACCCGGAGCCACCCTGCTGGACAAGTCTCCGTCTCACACAGAAACTCCTCCCGCAGACGTTACACTGGCTAATGTTTTTGTTCCACTAGAATCCATAAAACCCAGTAAGTAAAACATCATCATTTCAGGGTTTTTTTCTAAATGTATAAAATCTCATCTAAAACTTCAGGTAATATACCTGTATAAAGTTTTGATTGTTATTGGAAAAATATAAGAAATGCTCTTTTCCCCTCGCTCCTATTAGGTAGTCTTTTACCAATAACCGTGTTTGACGGACACAGTCTGCGAGTTCTCTTCCACTTTGCTCGGGACTCTCCTCCGTCTCGACCCGACATCCTGGTGGTCATCATCTCTATGTTGTCCTCAGCCCCCGCCCCCGTCACCAACATACACTTTCAGGTTACTGCTGTAAAGGTGAGCAGCCACCAGGTTCAGTACTGGATGAGCTGCACTGCAGCCAATGTCCTCAGTAAAACATGTTTTTGTGTGTGTGTTTGTGTGATAATCACAGTCTTTGGCAGTAAAGCTGCAGCCTCCATCAGGAGCAGAACTCCCCGCTTTTAATCCCATCCTCCCTCCTGCTGCCATCACACAGATCCTGCTCGTAGCAAACCCAAACAAGGTAGTTAATGATTTCCATCTCTCTAGATGCTACATCCCTAATTCCAGTGATGTTGGGATGTTGTGTAAAACATAAATAAAAACAGAATAGGATGATTTTCAAATCCTATTCAACCTAAATTCAATTGAATACACTACAAAGACCTGATATTTAATGTTCAAACAGATAAACTTTTTTCACATATTCACTCATTTTGAATTTGACGCCTGCAACACGTTCCAAAAAAGCTGTAARAGAGTCATGTTTACCTCTGTGTTCCATCACCTTTCCTTTTAGGAAACACTCAGTAAGMGTTTGGGAACTGAGGACACTAATTGTTGAAACTTTGTTGGATGGCAGACTATGTGGCTCTAAAACCTGTATGTAGCTTTCAGCACTAATGGAGCCTTCACAGATGTGCAAGTTACCCATGCCATAAGCACTAATACACCCCCATACCATCAGAGAGGCTGGCTTTTGAACTTTGTGCTGATAACAGTCTGGAGAGTCCATTTGCTCTTTAACCCAGTGGACGTGATGTCAGTATTTTCAAAAGCAATTTGAAATGTGGACTCGTCCGACCTCAGGACACTTTTCCACTTTCTATCAGTCCATCTCACATCTGTTGGACTATTTGCTCACACAGTTGTTCACAAAGGGGTGAACCTCACCTCATCCTTGCTTGTGAACGACTGAGCCTTTCAGGGATGCTCCCTTTATACCCAATCATGGAACTCACCTGTTTCTAATTAACCTGTTTACCTGTAGAATGCTCCAAACAGGTGTATTTTGAGCCTTCCTCAACTTTCCCAGTCTCTTCTTGTCCCTGTTCCAGCTTTTTAGAACGTGTTGCAGGCATCAAATTCAAAATGAGTCAATTTATGCAAAAAAACAAAGTTTATTTATGTGAACATAAAATAGCTTGTCTTTGTTGTGTATTTAATTGAACATAGGCTGAAAAGGATTTGTACATCATCATATTCTGTTTTTATACAACGTCCCAACTTCATCTGAACTGTGGTTGTAAAATAAACCTTTAGCTTTTGTGTTGAAACTGTTTTTAGCTGCAGTACTGCTCTGAATGCTCTGAGTTTCCCCACCTCTGTATGTTTCAGGAGAAGGTTCGGCTGCAGTACAGACTAACCTTCACGTTGGGCGAGCAGGAGCACAGCGAGAGCGGCAGCGTAGAACAGTTCCCTCCTCCGGAGAAGTGGGGGAACCTATAGCATCGAACACCTCAACCTGACAGACTTTCTGCTTTTCAGACTCGACCTCCTCCTGAACACTCCGCCTCATTCAGTTCTCCTCTGTGATCACGTCGAAGCGCCGTCGGATCGGGATGTTTTTTTTCTAGGGATTATACCGACGCTCAACGTGACGTGTGTATGCTTTGCTCTGAATTGGTCACGCGTGTCTGTTTGTATGTGGCTGCACTGAAACAAGCCTGCAACTGCTTCCTCCAGTTTTCTCATCTGTTGTTTTAACAGTGTGCATCTTTCATTTCCCATCTTTTTTCTTTTCAAATCCTCGTGTGTTCACCTTCAGCTCAGCATGCTTTGTCAACAGGCCACACAGTCTCAAAATCAAACGTTAAGTCCAAACTATAGACTCAAATTGAAAAGAGCATAATTATATTAACTTTGTGGTGTTGGTTGAGTTTGTGCTGAGTCACTTTCTGATTGCAGATCCCTTTGATAGCACTTATTTTTGTCATTTCCTCTTTGTGTCTCGAACAAAATCTACTGTAACATCAGAGTTGTGTATTTTCTGCCATATGTGCCTATTTTTGGAGTTTTAACATAGTTTTTATTTCTTTAAAATCAATTTATTTGTTTTTTCATGAGTTACATGTCCATATATCTGGGTTACAAATCAGCTCTTTTTTTTGTAATATCTTTATCATGGTTAAAGTTAAAATAGCATCTTTTATCATAGTGTTTAAGTTATTATTGAAGCATTTATCGGGTTAAACTGAAGATCAGAAACTTGAATATATGCAAAGTGAGCTGCTCTGTGCACAGCATTCCGTCTGCAACTTGTTTAAGAGAAATAAATCGGCGCTGCATGTCCAACCATGCTGAACATGTCTCCCCCTCCCGCCAGGCTCTCAGCCACATTCCACCGTCTTCATGTCCAGTCAGACTGCTCTGTAAAGGCCAGCAGTGGCACATCACTTCTGTACATTTGACCTGTGCAGTGTGCAAAGAACATAATAAAATACTCTAAKTGGAAAAGTGGGCTTTTCTTTTTCTTCTTGGTGATGTAGAGGAATGTTGTGTCCCCTGCAGAAAAGACTCAAATCTGCACTGAGAAGATTTATTCAACATAAAAACAAAAAGTGCCTTAGAGGCTGTGGGCCCAGTCAAGGAGGAGGGGCCTGCACCACCTGATTAATCCTCAGACTGAAGGTTTTTCTAGTAGTTGGATCTTAGTTGGCCCTCAACCCTGCAGCTGCCTCCACCTACAGGATACACATCTATCACCTGCCCTGGTACTTCATGTGGAGGACTGTTAGAACTGGAGTCATGCAGTAGAAATGAAAAGTAAAACAGGAAAGTTTGTGTAATCTCGTCCCCGTCTGATATTAGCCAGCAGAAACCGTTTGGGATCGATGACTTCAAGCACCTGGAACAGATCCCTGGTTTAGGTCCAGACGGACGATAAAAGAGATTAAATGAGTTGGGACAGTCGTAACTGATGACAAACTTTACATCATCTTGTGGAGAAGTTGTGATGTTTGCTCAGTTACAGGGAGGGAAAAGACAGAACATTGTGTTCTATCACACCTGTCAAACACACATCAACACCTTACCTGTCAGCTGATGAGCTGCTGGTACAATGAACAACTAAAACAGGCCTTTACTCAACAGGATAATCCCAATATACACTCACCGGCCACTTTATTAGGTACACCTGTCCAACTGCTCGTTAACACTTAATTTCTAATCAGCCAATCACATGGTGGCAACTCAGTGCATTTAGGCAAGTAGACATGGTCAAGACAATCTCCTGCAGTTCAAACCGAGCATCAGTATGGGGAAGAAAGGTGATTTGAGTGCCTTTGAACYTGGCATGGTTGTTGGTGCCAGAAGGGCTGGTCTGAGTATTTCAGAAACTGCTGATCTACTGGGATTTTCACGCACAACCATCTCTAGGGTTTACAGAGAAAAAGAAAAAACATCCAGTGAGCGGCAGTCCTGTGGGCGGAAATGCCTTGTTGATGCCAGAGGTCAGAGGAGAATGGGCAGACTGGTTCGAGCTGATAGAAAAGCAACAGTGACTCAAATAACCACCCGTTACAACCAAGGTAGGCAGAAGAGCATCTCTGAACACACAACATGTCGAACTTTGAGGCAGATGGGCTTCAGCAGCAGAAGACCACACCGGGTGCCACTCCTTTCAGCTAAGAACAGGAAACTGAGGCTACAATTTGCACAAGCTCATCGAAATTGGACAAGAGAAGATTGGAAAAACGTTGCCTGGTCTGATGAGTCTCGATTTCTGCTGCGACATTCGGATGGTAGGGTCAGAATTTGGCGTCAACAACATGAAAGCATGGATCCATCCTGCCTTGTATCAACGGTTCAGGCTGGTGGTGGTGGTGTCATGGTGTGGGGAATCTTTTCTTGGCACTCTTTGGGCCCCTTGGTACCAATTGAGCATCGTTGCAACGCCACAGCCTACCTGAGTATTGTTGCTGACCATGTCCATCCCTTTATGACCACAATGTACCCAACATCTGATGGCTACTTTCAGCAGGATAATGCGCCATGTCATAAAGCTGGAATCATCTCAGACTGGTTTCTTGAACATGACAATYAGTTCACTGTACTCAAATGGCCTCCACAGTCACCAGATCTCAATCCAATAGAGCATCTTTGGGATGTGGTGGAACGGGAGATTCGCATCATGGATGTGCAGCCGACAAATCTGCGGCAACTGTGTGATGRCATCATGTCAATATGGACCAAAATCTCTGAGGAATGCTTCCAGCACCTTGTTGAATCTATGCCACGAAGAATTGAGGCAGTTCTGAAGGCAAAAGGGGGTCCAACCCGTTACTAGCGTGGTGTACCTAATAAAGTGGCCGGTGAGTGTATATCAAACTTTTACATAAATGCTGGCAGTTTACACACAGCTCATTGTCATTGTGAACTGAAAAAGATAACATTTATCCTTAAATTCTAAGGTTTGTGTTCAAGGCCAACAATTCACATAACTTCTAACTGATCAGCAGAACACAGTTTGCTTTTATCTTAGTTCTGACGGCACCAGGAGACCCGTTTTTCAAGTTTAGTAACAAGAAACGGCACTAAACCAAAGGTCAGARGGATGTTTTCTGCGAGGGATGTCAGGGTGGGCTCCTGAAAGTTTGGAAACCTTATTTAGCAAATCTGACGGAGCTTGTGAGTGTCAAAAAGAGGGTGAGGCGGTTCCTTTAGGTCACGACTCCTGCCGACAAAAACTTGGTGACAAAAATTTGTATTATTTTTCTTTTGTCCTTTATTCCCTTTGCAACACCAACAGAAACCAACATAACGTCCAAACAAATACCTAATATACATATTAAAAAAGTATACAACTAAAAATAAAACTGTAGCATTATGTCAAATGAAAATAATAAAAAGCTCAAGTATACAAACAAAGCACTGTACCAAACATCATTACAGTCAACACCATAAATAAGTCACAGTGCTCTGAGAAACTATTTACACATCCACTATGTTTAAAACATTTTATAATGTCGTAGAATCAGTAAGCTTCAMTTAGATATGCTGTTACCTGAGGGCTAAGATAAGGGTAATAATGTTCCCTTAAAAAGGCAAAACCATATTTGAATATTTCAGTAATTGAACTTCTCTTAACCCTAAACTCAACTGTTGCACTCAAGATCCAGAAAGTGGCAGCTAAAAGAAAAATGACTCAGATTTAAATCATCTCTGAGAGTAAACCAGCAGAAGGTGATCATGTTCTGCTTCCATGCATCCACGTACACATTTAGCAAGTTTTCAAACAAACCAAAAATAAAGAAAAAAAAAGGGTCAAATGTATATATTAGGAATGTAAATTAAGATCAGTTCAACAACATTTAAGAAGCAGGAGGAGCAGGGGCAAGTCTGAACACACCATAAATTAGTAGATTACAGAATATCATCTGGAGGAGCTGTATCTGTAATCTGCATGGGTCCAGTCCGCAGTCCCTCTGCTCATGCTTTCAAAATAAAAATAAATAAAATCTCTGGTACAGCTGTTTCATTTAGTCCTCCACAATCTCCTCCGTCGGGCAGCAGATAAACTTTTTACACTTTAGTTTTACTGATGAAACAATCCCACAAAAATACAGTTTATATTTTACAACATTTCTAAAGTACTTTGCTGCAACAAGTTTTATATTTTAAGTCATACAACAGGAAATATAAAATGTTTTTTTTGTGATTAAAACATTAAAAGCCAGTTACTCAAAGTTTTTATTTCTTACCTTTGTTTAAATATTCAGCAATTCTAAAGTCAAAAACAGCTCGTCTCACTAAGTGGGGGGTCTGCTCTCATTGTTTATAAAGCAGGAATAAAATGAAAGATTTAAAGATGTGTTTCAGTGAAGATGGCACTTTTTGTTTATCTTCTGGCTTGTTTTTCTGCAGTAGCCATTAAAGTGCATTATTAGAGATGCTTTATGCAGGCACAGTGATTTGTACTAACCAGTATTCAGGAGATCGTTTCGTTATTATCTGTAGCCACAGCTGCAATATGACACCAACACAAACAACTCAGACATAAACCGTCCCATTTGAATTTTCTTTCTGCTCAGCCTTTTTTCTTGTTCTATTCGTTCTTTCTACGCTCATAACATTCATTCATCCCTTTCCTGTCGCAGCAGTCCACCATGTTTTAGGTGTAAGAGAAATCTGAGCTTTCACTCTAATCCAAAAATGAAAACTAATCCCACCTTTCATGTTTAAGGCTTGAATAGAAGATCTGATTTGTCTCACACGGCTGAGGATACGTCAATACGGACTGCAGAGGTAAAGTGAGCGTTAGAGCGTGTCTCKGTCTCAGAACTCGTCGTCGGAGCTGAGCAGCAGGGTCTTCTCGTTGTCTCCGCGGGCGCTGAGGTTACTGTGGCTGCGGGACAGGGACGGCCCGCCGCCTCGCTCCAGCGTGGACTGCTGGGTGTACTGCTGATAGGCCGGGGAGAAGTTATGGATGGCGTCCTGGACCATGTCCCCTGGATTCATGGTCTCCTTCAGGCTGCTGGAGATGCTCTTCATTGGGGCACAGCGACCTGGAGGAAAAGTTGAAATGGAAAAAAAKCCCCACAACAAATAGATTATGTAAGATTTACAGAATAAAACACTTCATGAATTTTTGTCACATATGGAGAATTTATGGAAAAGATATCTGTTTTAGTTAAGTATAATTTCCAGTTAATTTTGACAGGCTGGTAACTACACCCATTAAAACATTGTTTTATCGCCCCCTGCTGACAACACTATGAACTTCAGTTTATTTACTTCAGGTTAAAAGTGTGTTTTATATTATGTATCTATCTTATCTGGCCAACAAAATCATATTTTATAGGTTTTATCAGAGATGTCAAGTAATGAAGTACAAATACTTTGTTATTTTACCTAAGTAGTAACTTTGGTTATTTGCACTTTACTGGAGTAACTATTTTTCAGCCAACTTTACTTCTACTCCTTACAAATACAAAAGGTATTTAACTTCTATATGGCTTCAGATTGTTTTCAATCCAGCTTGTCATCATTCAGAAAATAAAAAAATTAAAAACCTCCACATGACGCCTCCTGCATGGTATGCAGTGGGTAAAATAAGTATTGAACATGTCAACATTTTTCTCAGTAAATATATTACTAGAGGTGCTAATGACATGAAATTTTCACCAGATGTTGGTAACAACCCAAGTGATCCATATATACAAAGAAATCAAACCATAAATGTCCAGAAATTAAGTTATTTGTAATAATGTGGAATGGCACAGGGAAAAATTATTGAACACATGAAGAAAGGGAGGTGTAAAAAGGCATGGAAAGACAAGACACCAGCTGAACTCTCTCAGTAATTAGAAAGCAAGCCTGCCCCTTGTCAGTGCAAGTTAATATCAGCTGGTTCAGTCCCAAATGATGGCCAGGTATCACACAAGAACCATCTGATGATGGGTAAAAGTAAAGAGCTCTCTCAAGACCTTCACAACCTTATTGTTGCAAAGCATAATGATGGCATCGGTTACAGAAGAATGTCTAAACTTCTGAAGGTTCCAGTGAGCACTGTTGGGGTCATAATTCAGAAGTGGAAAGAACATTATTTCACCATAAACCGACCACGACCAGGTGCTCCTCACAAGATTTCTGACAGAGGAGTGAAAAGAATTATCAGAAGAGTTGTCCAAGAGCCAAGGACCACTTGTGGAGAGCTTCAGAAAGACCTGGAATTAGCAGGTACGWTTGTTTCAAAGAAAACAATAAGTAATGCACTGAACCACCATGGCCTGTATGCACGCTCACCACGCAAGACTCCACTGCTGAAGAAACAGCATGTTGAAGCTCCTTTAAAGTTTGCTGCACAACATTTAAACAAGCCTGTGTAATACTGGGAGAATATAGTCTGGTCAGATGAGACCAACATTGAACTGTTTGGATGCCAGAATACACATCATGTTTGGAGGTCAAATGGCACTGCACATCAGCCCAAAAACACCATACCAGCAGTGAAGTTTGGAGGTGGGAACATCATGGTGTGGGGCTGTTTTTCAGCATATGGTACTGGCAAACTTCAAATAATTGAAGGAAGGATGAGTGGAAAAATGTACAGAGACATTCTTGATAAAAATCTGCTTCCATCTACCAGGATGATGAAGATGAAACATGGCTGGACATTTCAGCAAGACAATGAGCCTAAAAACAAAGCCAAGGAAACTCTCAGTTGGTTTCAGAGAAAGAAACTAAAGCTGCTGGAATGGCCCAGCCAATCACCTGACCTGAATCCAACAGAAAAMCTATGGAAAGAACTAAAGATCAGAGTTCATAGAAGAGGTCCACGAAACCTTCAAGATTTGAAGACTGTTTGTGTGGAAGAATGGGCCAAAATCACACCTGAGCAATGCATGCCACTATTTCTCCATACAGGAGGTGTCTTGAAGCTGTCATTGACAACAAAGGCTTTTGTACAAAGTATTAGATAAATTTCAGTAAGRGTGTTCAATACTTTTTCCCTGTGCCATTCCACATTATTACAAATAACTTCATTTCTGGACATTTATGMTTTGATTTCTTTGTATGTATGGATCACTTGGGTTGTTACCAACATCTGGTGAAAATTTCATGTCATTAGCACCACTAGTAATATATTTACTGAGAAAAATGATGACGTGTTCAATACTTATTTTACCCACTGTAAATATATACCATTCTAACAAGCCATTGATTTGTATGAGCCAACACACCTTCACAACACAAATCATGTGACACTCCTGAGGGACATATCAGACAAATGAAGACGATCGTTGCAGCTTGAATGCAGCTGAAACAGGCAGTCGAGTGCTTCCTAAAATTTTCAGCATTAACATTTTATTATGTTGGATAGTCATAGGGAGGTGGGGTTGTAACTATAGACCCCTGAGGAACAGGATAAGCTTTTATCCTTAATGTCTTTTTTTCCCCTTATGGTACTTTTACTTTTAAACTTGGAGTAGTTTTAAAACCAGTACTTTTACACTTTTACTGGAGTAAAAAGCTTGAGTTAATATTTCTACTTCTAAATCCTAGTGTCTATACTTTTATTTAAGTAATGAATGTGAATACTTTAATAAACCACTGTGTATTAGAGCCAGTATACAGACCAAATAAATTACAAACCCCAGAATACACTGGGAAGGCCAGTAGAGTCATGAAAGTTAAAGCTTATAACAAATGCCCCACTGTAGCCTCACGCTAAATCCTGGAGTCAAATTAAAACTACACACCCATGAATATTACTTTTTCACACCAAACTAAAACACTTTTTTGTTTATATTTTTCTAAATTCAATATTTTGTGATGTACCCGCATCTGATCAATGAATTTATARTTATTTATATGCATTTTGTTGTTGTTGTTTTTGGAGAAGTGGTAGCTGCATGTTGGGATTTTCAAAGAGGTTTTAAAATGTGTTGACGGTCTGTGGCAAAATGTTTTCWTTTGGAATGAAAAGTTAAATCAATGTGCAGAGAGGAAGGTATGCAAAATTATATTATTCTTTTATTTTAAACATTATCAGCAATTTTAAAATGCTAAAAAATGGCAGTCCTGAGAAAAGTTAACTTCATATCTATATGAATGTTTGAACAAAAACATTTGAAAAAACATAAAACCTGTGAATCTAAATCATGAAAATGAATGGACCCTGATATGAGGATTGGAAACTGATTTAACAACAAACATTAAAAAGCCAGCTGATGACATTAAAACTACTACAATCAAAACAAAAAAGCAATCACAGCTAAACAATCACAGATTAAATCAAATTTACAGCTAATAAATGCACACAAAGACTTTTATATACAATACAACAATAAAATAATTGTAAAAATAAATGGCCACAAGGTGCAAAAGACTACACCACCAACAAATGAAATAATGAACCTTTAACTTCAGTCAGAAGTCACAGACTGAGACCAGCAAAGACAAAACAGCCATCATGTGACCTACCGTATTGTCCATAAATAGGAAATGAGCCTTTTAGTGCCGCACCAGGAGGAGAGAGACAGAAGACAAAGAAAGACAAGGGACAAAAGAGAAGTCAAGATGAAAATGGAGGTAAAGCAAACAGCAGAAGAAAAGAAAGTGACTCACAATAGTCAAAGGAAGGAACACAGAGAGGTCAGATCAGTCCTGTAGGACCGCTGAACCAGAGTGAGTCACACAGAAAATCTAACTCTTTGTTTTTACTTTCTCCAGCCTCAAAACAGAGCAGAGCTGTCACTCACCATACGAGTCCAGCCGCTTGTCCATGTAGACTTTGTAAGTGAAGGCGTGGCGCAGAGCGACGGCGGCGAAGAACATCTCGATGCAAATGATGAAGTTTTGGTATCCAGCGGCGACCGTTCCTTCTCCCACGGAGAAGTCGGCCGAGTTGATCTGAGGAATCGCTCCGCATTTCTCCAGGATGGCCAGCAGCATCCCTGCAACACAAACGGGAAACGTGAAAAAATAAAAATACAGAAGCTCTATAAAGTCACTGCTTCAGATCTGTGGAGAAACTTTTAAAACATTACAACACTTCTCTCAAAACACATGATTCAGTGGGAAGGTGCTCAATAATGCTCATGGTTTTTTTTCCTATCTATTGTGACGAGCCAAAAATGTAAAGTGGATATTTAAAAGCTCTAAAATCATTCTTACCCTGCCAGAAGGAGAGAAAGATGACCGACTTGACCATGAAGAACTTGAGTACGGGGTTGTAAGGGACAAGCAGCTCACGTGTAGCAAAGTAGAAGAGGAAGAGCGCGTAGAGCGACAAGCTGACCGAGATGTTATAAATGATAGTGACATACAGGTAGCCACTAGCCACACTGGAGGAAACAGACACACGAAATAAAAATCATAACTTTTCCTTATGAATGCCTCTGGTACCTGCCAGGCTAACATTGTAAATAAAAAGTTATTCTTAATGTTTTGCCTGGTAAAATAAAGGTTAAATAAAAATATATATATATATTGTTCAAACATTTCAGTCCAGAAAAATTTGCTCTGTTGGTTTCAAGACAGAGCAGTGGTGGGTAAAGTTCTGCTAATCTGCTAACAGCAGAACTAGCTTCTTGTTTAGCAGATTAGCTTTTTTGCTAACTTTGGAAACCATTACCAGACCAATTAGCTTCTGCAAAATTATGTTTTGTTAATTTTAAGTCCATTATTTACAAATGTAAGACCCCAAATTGAATAAAAACTATCTCTTCTTACAAGCATATGCAGCGTCTTTAGCAAGTAAAATTTAAACTAGTGTCAAAATGAAATAGACATTAAGCACTGACTACAAATACAATATGAAGGAGAAAGTATTTGCTATTTGTTGTTTGACTAACTTCCAACACTATTTATAAAAATACAAACTAATGAAAGAAATGCTTTTATTCTGAAAGAGTAAAACTGAAAGTATCACARGTTAGGCAGAGCTATAATTCTTCGACTGGAAGAAGATGAAGAAGGAGTGACACTCGTCTTAGCAGCTAGTGTTAGCTTCTACTAATTTTTTAAAACTGTTTAGTGGTTTAGCGTTAGCAGCGCTAAAATTCTTGTTTAGCAGATTAGTGGTTAGTGAACCCAACCTTTTGTTTAGCTGTGCCCACCACTGAGACTGAGGATGTAATGATTCTGCATTGTTAAAAAGATGTATTTTTGTTTAGTAGGAATTCGGTATAAGCTGCTGGATAAACGTACTTAAAGTCTCCATCTTTGTATTTCCCAAAGGCTTGAAGAATGACAGTGATCACTGCCATCAGGGGTTTGACCACGCAGAACTGGAGAGTCGCCTGACAAAGCAGAGAAATGAAGCCTCATTCATAAGACAGCTCAGACTGACACCTGTTCTGTTCTCAGATCGTTCAGAAAAAACACGGAGGCAGCAAGGGGATAAAGTGAGCCCACCTCTGATGCCCCTCTGAGCCAGCAACAGAGGTAGTATCAGAGCCGGCCTGAGCCGGGCACACTGACTCGTATTAAAGCAACCTGCTGTTCCAGGGCTCAGAAAAGGATAATGAGCTGATGACATCAGTGAGCGACTACAGGATTAATAAACAAACAGATTTATTACAGAGGGAATATTAAAGATGAATGTGAAACAACAACTTTGTAGTTAGTTTAAAATATATTGAACCACAGAATCGCTAAATGTTGTGTTTGATGAGGCAAATGCCGTGACACAGTAAATACATTAGGGTCCACTTCAGCCGAGCTGAGATCTACTCCATGCCTCTTTTGGTTCCACTCTGCTGGGTTCATTTCTGAACGTGTACATGTGAGCAGGACCTGGCCGGCTTCTCCTGTGATTTATGAATGAACCGAGGGAGCTTAAAGCCGGATCGGTCTGTGCAGTGATTTTGCGGAACTGTCTTGTGAAAGAGGCTTGAGTTACTGATGTGGACACCAATGATAACTGAGTAACTCTGACAGATTTTGGTTCTACATAAAAATCAGTATTAACACCATACTAAGAGCTTTAAAAGTAACATGAATCAATAAATGTGTCAGGAACTAGAGCCACCTCTGAGCATGGATTCATACCTGTTTACAAAACCTGAGGAACCCGATGGAGTAGGTCTTTCCCCACAAACAGCAGGTCCCATACATGCAGCTGGACCTGAAGCGAGTTAGAGATCAAAACAAGAGCAGAATGCAGGCTGTCTTTATGTAAATCTGTTTTTATAAACAACGCCATGAGCAGAAAGTAGTGCTGGCGGCAAACACGACTCACTCAATGGGTTTCCCTCGGATTTCAGCCATGATGGCGCTCTCTCCTCCCAGATACTCGTAACACAGACTCAGGAAGTTATAGATGACAAACGCTGCAAAGGGTGACAAATACAAAGGAAAAAGTTTCAATTAATGTTGTAATACGGTTGAGTTCATTAGAAACTAAAAACCTGCCCCATCTTGTTAAAAATGATTTCACATCAGCTGTGTCTACATAAGCAAAACGATTGGGTTTAAGTGATGTAATTTCACCAGTGCTGCTCTCCTAATTACAGCTAAATTCTGCTGATTCGGATTCTCGACAGCTGAGTTTGGCACATTCGGGCGGAGAGGTGAGTCWTGATGCCCATCAGGCAGCTCACAGAGGACTGGCGGATGCTTGTCGGGAGGGAACGTAATTATAAAGTGTTGCTCTCTGGGTGCAGAGAGAGTGAACGTGGAGCCCTGCGATGACGACACACCTGGTGAGGAAAGCAAACTCTGGGGACAGCTCATGTTTGCAGAGGCTTGTCGCACAGCGTGATGCTGAAATCTGTTTAGATGACATTTGGTATTCTTCCTCATTCTGGGCCCCATCTGGATTTAAGATCAGGACAAACTGTAGGATTAGACTCCAGAGTTTGATGTTTACTCCTTGTWAGCAAACAAACATGACAGCTACATCTAATCCGGTGTACCTAATCATTTTTGGGACACTCTCTCTAAAAATAATGTGCATTTTAAACAAAGCTGACAAGCTGCACACCGATCGCAGTGATTGGTGTGAGCAGAATGTTTTCCATCTGCTGCTCCAGGTGTTTGCTGGCCTATTTAAGGCTAACCCAAAGATACCAGCTCTGCACTGCCTGAGCTCGCTGTAATTTATTTATTTTTTCCCTGTTTGAAAATGGCTGAGTTTAAATTTGCAGCATGATGAAAGTGCTCACCAGAAGTCAYCAGCACAGGGCTGCCTTTGTGTTACAGTGTTACAGAACCACACAGCTGTATTTTTCACACTCAATAAGCTCATGTGCCTTTTGAATTGAAAAGAATAAGCAGTGCTTAAAGTGAAAATGTTAATGCACACTTGAGCAAAACAAATCAAAAMATACTGGATTTAATTATTTGATGAGAGAACATTTGAATGCTTTAGCAAGAAAGCCTTCAAATAACACTCAACAATCTGTCAGTACTTAAGTATTTAATAAACTGTAAAACATTTCTATAAAACCATGTTTAAAAAATGAAGTGGGGTTTTGTAGTCATAGTCTGACTTTGTACAGCGGCTCCTGTTTATGATTCAAACTTTCTCTTGACACTTAATGCAGTTAGTTTAAAATAATCTCAGTGCCTTTCTTAAAGGAGACCAATTATGGGTCCTAGAAATTTTTATGGTATGTCTGTGGTCTATCCAGTCCATTTTCATTCAGTTTAATGCACAAAATAATTATCAGATAATAAAATTTCCCATTTTCTAGTTCTGCCTGCTCTGACTTCCGTTCAGAAGAGCTGTTTATGTTAATGAGCTCTGTTGGTAACGCCCTCCAAAAATCTGTTGACATTAACTCCACCCTCCAAAGCCAGCTTTTATGTTAGCATGGCTAATAATAGCAGAAGCTCTGTTGTACAACCGTATATATGAGATCCTGAGTCAGACCCAGAGGCAGAGTTGTGATCACAGCTTTTTTTTTCTCCTCCTCCTGTGTCGGAGCTCTGCGCTCACTCTGCATGCTGTTACCGGGGCAGGTAATAGGAGCAGCAGTGGTCAAAATACCACAGAAATTTGAACAAATTGGCTAAAGCTAAAAACAATAGAGGTACATGAGAAAACATGTTCATAACAAACGAAAATAAATAATTAAATTGTATCCATGTCYGCCTTGAACCCTGGTCTCATGCTCTCTGGTCCAACACTCTACCCATTGCCCTATTGGAGACTTGTTGTGCAATGAGCTGCACATTGCACAACAAGAACCGTGACGGCTCTTTATACTGTGGAGGTGGGGCCTCACCCGGGTGTTGTTAGGTAAGGGGCTGAACGCAGGTTCCGGTGGGTTGTCGTACGGCTTGTGACATCAAGAAATGAAGGAAGTATAAAACTTGTCGTTAATATACATTAYAAATACATTTACTTACAGTAAATATGCCCCTGGGTGCATTTTTTGGTCCTAGGACTGTTTTTTTTAAAGAAGTACATACCCAAAGTTGAGTAAAAAAAGCTTTAAAGAGTGAATTTGGCATAAAAGGTCCCCTTTAACATTCTGAATCCAGAGCACAAGAGATTTTAGTGATTTTTCAAATTATTTAAAGGGGGGTCTCGTGCGCGGGGGTGGTTTGTTTCGCCCGTGTGCTATGATGCAGTTTACTTAGCATCTGACAATACATTTCCTCAAAGGTGTTTTGAATCTGAAAAGAGCTTCACTGAGTGAAAAGTAGTGTGGAGAGCAGCGCACAGTAAGTTTCACTTTCACTTTTGCTCTGTTACTGCCGAGAGCCTGCAGGACTCATGGGCGGGCTGTGTGGGGAGGGTGTGCGCTCTGCCATGAGGAAGTTCAGCTTAAAGACACGTCCCAGGGGTGTTTCTYGTCCCCATCTGTCATTTTGCTCCTCAGCATGGCTGCCTAAAAACACCGCAGGATTTCTCAAACATGCATGAATGGGTCAAAACAAGGCTTTGGGCATGTTTTTTTTATGAGCGTGTAACATTATAACATGATATAAAACTCAAAAAAGTTGATTTTACGTGATACTGCCCCTGTAAAACAATGTTCTGAGGAGGTTCAAACTCTTTAGCTAACATTTTCTGAGGTATTTTATGGCCACGTTTAGGTTCTGCTTTGAAACTTTACTCAGTTCCTGCAGCTTCACTGAGCCACAGAGAGGTRTTGTTGTGTCTTTCAGGTCAATATGGCACATTTACTTGGGAAGATCACTTGTCAGCACAAATGACTTCCCTGAAATACTGTATATCTCAGACAGTAAACAGTGTTAGCCGAAAGCTTTTTCCTGCTGAGCAAATTAGATAAACTTCATTTAAAGATTATACATTGTCTCCTTGAGTGAGGTTGTTGCTTTGATGAGTTAAACAATTACTCCAGATTTGTTCAAAAGCATTTAATTAAAGCCTTCCATAGTTTTAAGAGTAAAATAATTATCATTGAAGCTGTGGAATGAGTTGCAACTTTTACAAATCCAGCCAAAAAAAAAATACTTTTAGCAAGTCCGGATTTTAAGCAATCTAGATTTGAAAACAGTCAAACAGTATTTGATGTGGAATACTGTATTTGTGATTCTTCACAATAAATGTAAAACAAATACACTTAGAACAAAAAGTAAGGAAATGTGTGTTTGGTAGATGATTTCTTTGTTGTAACAATTGTTCTTGGCGATAAATATACCGTTGTAAAGCCCGTTAATTTCCCTTTTAAATGTTGCCACATTTGTAAGGAACATGCATTTGTGGGCTGAACAGTAGAACTGAGTATGTGGGTTGCACACATGAAAACTTTGCAGAATCTTCTCTGCCAAACAGCTTATTTTGTTGWTGTTATTGGCKTTTGTTTTGAGTTCTGGTACCCCRAGGTGCTGCCAATCAAGTGCGCCGTACAAGATTTATTGTCAAGAAGCCTTACTACAACAAAGAAACAATCTACCAAACACAGATTCACTTACTTTTAGTTTTAAATATATTTAGGTTTACTAGAATTTGGGTTTAATGCTACATGCTAATTTGTGTTGATATAAATGGAGACAAACTGCAAACTAGCCTCATCACATTTTACTGAACTAATCTATCCATATCAGTTGATGACAAATAAAACATTTTCAATACTATAACCACAGTCTGACAGGGTCCATATGTTTAATCAACTCAAAGGTGAGATGATGTTTGAAGGATCTGCTCATTTTCACACAGTTGCTAGGAAACTCTCCACCCCCAACCTCCCCCTGCTATCCCAACAGGCCATGGAGACGTGACAACAAAGAATGGCAACCTTTGTAAATTAAGACTCTACAAAGGCCAGCTGCCCCACAAGGGTTTCACATAAATCCTCACTCTCTTAGTTCTAACAAGAGACAGAACACACTACCCTCCCTCTGATGATTGTCCTGAGTGCAGTTTGTCTGCAGCAGAAAGACTCGGAGTTGGACCCGATTGCCTTTGGCTGCTTACCTTCATAGCAGTCTCGAACCGTGTCGAAGTACACGTAATACTCCTCATTGGTGAAGAAAAGGAGGCTGAGCCAGGAATCGAAGGCGTAGATAGGGACTATGAAGAGAATCCTCACTATGTGTCTCTGCTCGTTTGGGGAGCTGTAGTAACGCAAGTGCATGTAGATCTAAAATGAAAAAGGAGGCAGATGAAGTTAAGATAAGTCAGACATTATCCAACTAAAACCCACAGTTAAAGAAAATGTCTGTATAAACAGGAAGCAAAGGGTGGATTTCTTCGACGCATCAGGGGAAGGACAGTGGTGATTGATAGACTCAATGAGGCACAGAACTGGGGGGTCTGGGCCATTGTCTCTGAAAGTCTCTGCTCATCTGTCTTCATGTCAACACCGAGGGTCTGGACGGAGGTTCCAAAAACATCTGCTTTAGTTGACCTAATCTAGGTTTCCATGCAATCGAAGGATAAAAAACATTTTAAAACTACTTAGCTCAGATGTGAAGGCCTAAATGCAGTATCTTATTAAGAAGCACCAACAGAATCTGCTAAAACAGTCGATTAAACTATTATTTTGTGATGCTTTAGTTTTCACAGAATGATAAACAAACGGAAACTAAATGCGACTTCATGAAATCTGAATCTGTGCGGACGATACGCGCCTGCCAAACGGAGACACCGGAGTTGGTGTGAGCAGCGTATGTGTTCACAAACACGAGGGGGTTGTTTTAGGAAGCTGATACTGAGCTTTTATTACTCCCATTCAGAGCAGCAGACGATAAAGAGGACAGGTGAGCCTTTTGTCAGCAGCGCCTCTTTCTGCTCCACCCGGCACCCTTTTCCACTTACACAATGTCCTCCGCAATGATCACCTTTCCTGGTAGGTAAACGGACACACACCTGGGGTAAAATAATGAGAAGTAGGTGACGACATGACAAGCGAGCCAGTGCGGTACAGGTACTGTTGCTAGGTGACCTTTGGCTGAGCACACACACACGCACGCACGCACGCACACACACACACACACAGCTCCTGCTCACTGATGAGGTGGTAGTTGAGCCAGTAACACCTGTTGTCTGAGTGACAAAAGGCTTTTCTTTAACTCTTCTTTAACAGAGGTTTAGTCAACAAAACCAATAGAGAGTTTGAACTGAAGTTCACTAAACTTATTCAAAACGTTCAGCTTACACAACGCCATTTTTGAGTGATACCGTAGCTTTTCTGCTACGGTTCGGACGTTCGCGTTCATGACAACAGCACTTGTTTTCTCTGAAACCAAAGCTTTGAATCCAAGAGAGGAGGTTTCTGGGACACCCCCCTGCAACCTAAATCAACCTCATCTTCGGTCCAAACAAAGGTTCATGTATTCACCTCCAGCAAACTCTTCCTGCAGAGAGGTGAAGGAGACGAGTGCGTACAGCTTGACCTGGATGGAGCCGTCTGAAATGAGCAGATATCTCGGGAGGTTTCGGACAAGCTGGCCGCCCACGGTTACACAAGCACTTATAAATAGTGTGCCGTGACAAAAACAAAAAACAAACAAAAAAAACTAATAAAACAGACTACCAGATGATAAAGCCACAACTGTTTAAGCCACCTGCTGACGATCCACTCACAGAGTGAGAGACACACTGACATGGAGACACACACACCTGAGCAGAACCGAAGAGACATGAAGCAAATAGAGTGAGACTTGACAATAGAGACGAGCTTTTGTAACCAGGGAAACTGCTGGCCCCGCTTTGGGAACCTCTCCTATAAAGGATTCAACAAGCACAGCAATATTCATATAAAACGTTTTTTTTTTTTTTTCATGTTTATTTGGCAGCTTGAGTGGTTAGCACTGTTGCCTCACAGCAAGAACATTCTGGGCTCAAGTTCTGGTTTTGGCCTGGTGTCTTTCTGTGTGGAGTTTGCATGTGAGTGGGGTACTCTGGTTTCCTCCCACTGTCCAAATTCATGCATGTTAGGCTGCCTGCACGCCCAGGACTCCCTTGAAAAAGAGATCTGAGATCTCAATGTGACTTGCTCAAACCTGCTTAAACTTAAATACAGTTTAAATTAAAAAAATTAATTCTTCACAGTCAACGATGATAAACGTTTCCAGAGATCGATCACATGCAAACAGGGTTCAGCTAAAACATATTTACAACTAAAGGCCGACTAACAGCAGCTAGAGCTAAACAACATTGGTAAACTGAAACCCAGGGACCAGAACCATCTCTATCTTGAGATGTTATGCAAAAATAATATCTTGTTGTTGATAGAGGTAAATTTATTGTCACAAGTCTCTATATCTTAATAGGCAAAGAAAGTTTTAGTGCGTTCTAAATAAACATGAAAAATATGCAACAAACTTTTGAGGAGAACAAAAGCCCTTCACCTGATTGTTTTTAACAAAACAACAACAAAAGTTGCCTGTATGCTGCCATATGATAAAAACAGACCAAGGCTTTATTTCACAGTGTGATTTTGAAAGATTATGTTTGACAGATGAGGGTAACATATCCATGGTTTCATTTAATGTGTGGTCATTTGATTTAGTCAAAACAGACCTATTACTTTAAGGTCTTCCTATCCATGTCCCTTTGCTGCCCTGTACTCGATCAGTTTTATAATGAGACCTCATCAGCCTAATCTGAACTAAACTGACAAGCAGCTCTTCAGATAAACTCATGTTCCACAAACTGCAACACAGCCAAACTAATCCACTGAATATACTAATCCAGCCTATAAGTGATGTGTTTGATTGACACAACGACGTGTCATGAAGTGTTAAATTAACAGGGATCCAGGGTTATTATAGTTAACTAAAATTACTCTAAGC